GCGGCCGCGGGCAGAGCACGGGGCAGCGGCACCGTCAGCCCCAGCGCCTCGGAGAAGGGCACTGGCCTCGTGAGCACGCTCCCGTCTGCATCAGCGCAACGCTGTGGCACACACACGACGGGGTTGAAAAGACAGAATTCCCAGCAAAAAGAAGAGCACAGCTCCAGGGGAACCACAGGCCACCCAAGTGCCATTTTGATTCCTTCGCTCTGTTTTGCAGGGCCAAGTTTCTGCCAGGGATGCGAGCAGTTCTCAAAGACCAATTTAGATAAGCATCCGAGGTCCTGGGATAGTCCAGATCCTGACTTCTAGCAGGCGAGCGGCGGCTCAGCATGGGGCCGGCTCCTGCCGCCTTTGCCATCACTGAAGAGGAGGAGCACACAAGCAGTCTGGCCCTGGAAGAGTTCCCCTCCGGTCTTCAGCTGATAAAATCCCTCCCGTGACATCCCAGACCACATCCACCGTCCTCTCTACAAGTTCTATTTGCTGCAAGACCCAACACCAGCGCAAGAGGGTGACTGGCACGAGGGGTTAAGGTTTTTCCGAGCTCTAGTAGGAAAATAAAACAAGCCAAGACAGAGGCAGAGCCAGCAGCGCTTTTAGAGTAATTTTTTTTTTGAATAAAAGAAAAGTTCCTTTCTGGCTCTGGGATCCTAAGACTTCCATAAAAACCAGCCTCCCCAAACTGTATTGCTTCTTTCATATATTCCCTTTCTCCTTTTAACATGAGTCAGCACCGGCGCATGTGCCTGCTGCTGTACTAGCATCAACGTGCTGCAAAACAGGCTAAATGGAGCTGAAACTTCAGCCTGCAGGTACTCCTGGTTTCAGGAACTACCCTTAGAAAAGTGCTTTGCAGTAAAGAATAAATTCTTTATCTGGCAGCTTTGAGCGCTGTTATGAATTCTTCACCCTTCTTTAAACTCGCCTGGCATGCTGGCAGCCTGCCACCGCTTCCCCCAAATGTTTGGATGTTTGGATGTAACCCTTCAACCTACCCCTATCAAAACCCAACTGTGCTCACACAGTATTCTCTGCTTGTCTGAACCCTTCCACCACAACCATCTAACCAAAAAAATTAAAAAAAAAAAAAGAAAGAAAGAAAAGAAAAGAAAAGAAAAGAAACATAACATTAGCAGTTCAAAAATCCCTTTGCATTCCTCTCCAGGCCCTGCATTACACAGCCCTGTCCCGGGGAAAGCCACATTCCTGAGGGAGCCCTGGATTTGCATATTTGCGTATTTGCATGGGCACTCTCACATTTGCCAATATTGCCACATAGCACGCTGATTTCACCAGCAAAGAAGGATTACTGCTACATTTAAGTCATTAAAATTGATGTCAAAAGCAGTGTTAGTGCACCAGATCCATTCGTCTTTTTTATTTTATTTTTTTTTTCACCTTGCAGCTGTGATTTGGCTGGAATCTAATGTTTGGAAATGACAGGGAGCAAAAAGCATCAAGACTGCTTAAAGCTTCACTGGAACAACCTTAATTGAAGTGGTATTTTTTAACTGTTGGACACTAACAAACAGATGAACTTTTCCTTTGCCTAGCTATCTTTCCCCCATTTCAGGTACGATACACACAAACTAATGCTACCAAACTGCTTTTAAAGAAAAAAATACAAGGTTTAAGTTAACACGCCTACGCTCAGCGTACACTCTAGGGGACAGGGAACATAATGCGACTCCATGGAATTCCTTCAGCCTCCCATTTCTGGCACCAGCCAGGGATTTCCTGAATCTAGTAGATGTTTGGGGAGCAAAGACTAGGCAGAGCCGGAGCCCGGCTCCTCCGGCAGCCGCTCCCCCGGCGACAGCGAGGCTGCCAAGCAGGTTCCCGCAGCTTAATAACTCCCAGGTAGTTTTATCCCCCGCATAACTAGGGCAGTTCAAAGGGGCGGATGGAGGCTGCTCGCTACATGCCTGCTCGCTCGCAGCAGCAATTAGCAGGTCCCGGGTGAAACTCGGTTACCTGCGGACTGGGGCGCAGGGGGAAAGAGCGGGGAGGGCTGATTTCCAGAGATGCTCCATGTTACCTGTACTTATAAAATAAATAGGAAACAAGGCTAGTTCATAAGAATCAACTCTCCATGCCCAGGGGGATATATCGTCCAAGTGGCACCAATCTGTTCCCCCTCGGCTCCATCAGATACAGAATGCAAAAAAAAGTGACATTCTTTCAGGTGCCCAGAAAGTGAAACATTTGCTGACTTATCACCCGTATACCTTTTTCATTTAAAACTCATCCTTCTCTGCCCCCAAATGAGCTGCACTCCTACTCCTCCAAATCAATAGGACGATTTGCATTTATCCTCCTGGAGGCATCGCTGCTAGGACCGGGGCCAGAGCGATCCAATCGATAGAGGGAAGCTGGAGAAGAAGCAGCCGGGAGATTCCCCCGGGGAGAAATGCAAAACACTGGAGAAAGGCAACAATTATTGTAATTGAAGGTAATGAGGCCGAGGCGCCAGCTCCAGATCTGCTTAACATCATTCAATACAAACCGAGACGCACATGAAGGAGACAGAAGGAGCCCAGCCCCGCGCCAGCCGCCCGCAGCCACCGGCCCTGCCCCGGCTCAGCCCGTCTCCCACCGCAGCCCGTCCCCAAGCCCCCAGCGCGGGTGGCTGGGGCACCCAGCCCTGGTAGCTCCGCAGCACGGGAGTGGGCGGATGCAGGACACTCGCTCCAGGTCTCATTTATCTCAGGGTTGCAGGGTCCTTGTTTTCCTGTCCGTATCAGCTCCTGTGTTTGTGGCATCCTCGGTGTATTTCTCCTTGCTGGGAATGGGAAGGTCACATACTGAGCACAAGTCACTTGCCCTGGTGTCAGGGCAACAGAATCAGCCCCGACTCCTCAACCCACACAGTCCTCAGAGCCTGTATCTGCCCTCCTTTCAAATCTCCCTTTCTGCCACCCCGACCCTTCTCCTCCTCAGCTTCCTGGGCATCCCAGGAAAGGTAGGAGCAGGCTGCAGCTGCAGGGGGATGTGATCCAGGAGAAATCTGCTGCCCTGTGGGTTTTTTTGTGACGCTGCCCTGGCACGATGCCAGTGTGTCCATGCCTCTAGCACAGCACTGGTCTGCACCAGCGTAGAGATGAGACCAGCTTTTGGCAGGGTCCTCAAAGGCATCTGTGCTTCTACCTATGATTCCTTATGCACAGAGATTTCACCACAACTTTAATAAAAGAGGGAGGCTTCAATAAACACCAAGCTAGCAACATGTCACCTCAGAGCTTCTTTTCATATTGTCCCTTTCCCAATGTACAGCAGCTGGTGAGACCATGATGGCAGTAGGATTTCCCTGAGGACACAACGCTCTGGTTACCTTGGTCCTCGACCAAGGACTATAAGGGACAGTTTTCCCGAAGCAGGCTCCCTGGCCAGCCCGAGGAGGCCGCTCCATGGTCCTATAGTGCTCTGTATCCACAGGAGTGCTCTAGCAAGCAA